AGCACAGTTTGAAGTGAATCTGACGAGAGCCAAAAAACGGCCTTATTGACACCCCTCCTTTGTACAAATTCTATATAAATTTCATAGAACGGATTTCTAATTAAGACCAACAAAGGTAAAATATCGAGAGAAAGAACGAGAGAGAAGTTCTTTTGTTACGTAATAAATGGATAATTATTATGTATAAAAATGTTTTCTTTTTTTTTTTAAGTTTTTTGTTATAGTCTAATTATTAGGTGGTAAACTTAGTTCCTGCGGCTCACAGTTAGATGACGTTAGTTGTAGGTGTAATTTATTTTGACATCTGAAACTGACTGCATTTTAGAGGTTAGACATTTGTCAATAAAATTCAGTGCGAAGAGATTCATTTAAGCGAGCAGTGCTATTTTTTCTTTTGATTAAATATGGAACGTAATAAGTTGTTTTTCGACATGTGCTGCTTCATTACTTTGACTTGAAAAAAACTGCAGCTGCAGCTCATAAATTGCTTTTCAATGCTTCAATGCTTATGGCAATTGTTTTTCAATGCTTCAAAGCTTATGGCAATTATGCTCCATCGGAAAGAACATGCCAAGTATGGTTTCAGCGATTTAAGAGTGGTGATTTTGATGTCAATGATAAAGAATGCTCAGGCCAACCGAAAAAGTTTGAAGACACCGATTTGCAGGCATTATTGGACGAAAACTCTACTCAAACGCTTCAAGAATTGTCTGTAGCATTAAATGTTACTCCGATGGCTGTTTCCAAACGTTTACATGCAATGGGAAAAATTCAAAAGGAGGGAAAATGGGTACCACACGAATTAACCGCAAATACCATTGCGAATCGCATAAACATCTCTATTTCTCTGCTCGCCAGGCAGAAAAAGAAGAGTTTTTTGTGGCGCATAGTGACTGGCGATGAAAAATGGATATACTTCGATAATCCTAAACGAAGAAAATCATGGGTAGACCCTGGCCAACCATCGACATCCACACCAAAGAGAAATATTCATGGCCACAAAGCAATGCTTTGCATTTGGTGGGATATGCACGGCGTCGTTTATTATGAGCTACTCAGACCGAACGAAAGTATCACGGGGGATCGATATCAATCACAATTAAACCGTCTGAATGAAGCATTGTTGGAAAAAAGGCCAGCAGTAGCCAGCAATCGACGTAAAGTCATGCTTTTGCACGACAACGCTCGACCACACGTTGCCAAAGCCGTCAAAGAAACACTGATGCAGCTCGAGTGGGAAGTTCTCTCGCACCCAGCGTATTCACCAGACTTAGCTCCTTCGGACTATTACTTGTTCCGGTCGATGCAGCACGGCTTGATGAATACACACTTCAGAAATTACGAGGATGTGCGAAAATGGATCGACGAATGGATTGCATCAAAAGACCAATCGTTCTATCGTCGCGAAATCTACGCGTTGCCCGAAAGATGGGAAAAATGTATAGCTAGCGAGGGAAAATACTTTGATTAATGTATTTTTTGCTTTTGATGTCGAAATAAATGAGTTTTTTAAGCAAAAAAACCGTAGGAACTAAGTTTACCACCTAATATTTGAGAAAATATGTATCTAACACTTTTTATAGGGGGAGTTCCCCTAGTGGCGGACGCCTAAGGTTTTTTCAGGATAACTAAACAATTATCATATAATTATTATATACAGGGTGTCTGACTCGTACCGGAGCTAATATATAGCTAGAATAGGTTGGGGTGATTAATAGAATCGGTGTCGTTTTTTAAACCACCACAAAAAATTTTGAGATATTAACGATAAAAAATCTCTACCAAGCGGCAGCCCACTGGCATGCGTGCTGCAGTGAGATGCTGTACGCGCTGTAGCATCGGTATAATAGGCTAACCAGGCTAGCCTTTTAATAACGAGGAAAACGCGTTGCTAAAAGGCTGGCCCGGCTAGCCTGTCATATCGATGCTACAGCGCGCTCGTCTCACCGCAGCAGGCATGCTAATTGGCCAGTGAACTGCCGCTCGATAAAGATCTTTTATCGTTAATACCTCAAAATTTTACGTGGTTCTTTAAAAAAAACACCGATTCTATTACTCACCCCGACCTATTCTAACAATATGTTAGCTCTAGTACGGTACGAGTCAGACACCTTGTATATATAAACTATATATAATATATAATATATAATATATAATATATATAATATATAATATATATAATATATAATATATATAATATATAATATATATAATATATAATATATATAATATATAATATATATATAATATAATATATATAATATATAATATATATAATATATAATATATATAATATATAATATATATAATATATAATATATATAATATATAATATATATAA